CCCTAAAATAAGACCTCCCCTGAGAATAAGCCTAATTGGGCTTTTGAGCACATACGGTAAAATAAGCCCCCCCCCCCCGGAAATAAGCTCTCCCTGAAAATATTTAACCACATGTGCAGCCAGTCCCATTTCCTCTGGTTAGGGTTTGGAAGAAAGAGCTGGAAATTAGGTAAGGCGGCAAGAGGAGCCCCGTCTTGCTCCACGCACCCCAAAATAATAAGACCTCCACAAAAATAAGGCCAAGTATTTATTTTGGGGTTCAAAAAAATATAAGACAGGGTCTTATTTTCGGGGAAACACGGTAGATTACAAGAAAAAGAGAAGACTGTGGTCAAAAGGAGTACACAATTATTTCTTGTGCGCCATTTGTGTTAGCCCTTTGAAGTAGTCCAGGCAAGAAGTACAACAAGGAATTTTAACTTACTAGAATATTAGAATACAACTATGAAGATGATGGGAAGTTTAGAAATAGGAAATATAAATAAATTAATACTAAAAGATACTAACTCTATCTTTTTCTCCAAATTATTTTTATTCAAAAAGTTAAAACAAACTCCCAAAACAAAACAAAAAAGAATGTTTCCAAAAACAAAACCCAATTGGACAGACATTAAAAAAAATAATGTCCATTAAAAAATGAAAAACAAAGACAAAGACATATATTATTCCCCCTAGCCTAGGTGAATACTGATAAATATGTTACAACGGTGGGAAAAATATCCATCTGGTTCAGTTCCAAGCTGGGAGAAAGACCCTGGAAACATGGAGGCTGATTGGAAAGATGGTTTAATGATGAAGCAGAATCACATAGGTTCTGGGAAGTTGACCACATGGAATTGAGAGAGGGTTTTTTTTATACCTTCTCTTGGGCTTTGCACTTGAGTTTCCTGTTCCTGTGCAAGAACATGTATTCTATTGGCTGTTGTCAGACTCCCATGGGGCCATGTTGGGTCATAGCTGGCTCTATAGGCAAAGTATAAATCCTAGGTGTTTGTCTGAGCTAGATTTGGTTGAAGTTTGGACTGCTCTGAGGGTGATGCAATAATTCCTATTGTGGCTTAGTGGTTTTGTCCTATGTTGGATCTTGAGTGATGGCTGCTTCAAATCCTACCATGCTGCCTTTGTTTCAAAATACCCTGTCTTGGATGGATTATCAAATCGGCATTTCTAAAAGCTGGCCCCAGTATCTGCTGGAGCTATTAAGGAAAGTGGAAGTTGCTTTCTGCCTCTAAAAAAACATGTTTTCCATTTCTCCCTTTGGGAAATATAATAATCTGCCTTTTTTAATATTCCTCAAAATATTTCATTCTTCTGGGGGTGGGTGGGCTTCCCACACAACAATAATTGCTTCTTCCCCTTGCAGACCAGGCTCAGAATATTTCATCTTCTATGTCTGTTTGCAACCAATTTGACCTGAAACATCTAACTGTTAAACTTTGTTGTTGGTTTACCTGTTAAGTATTTTTATATGGATAGTAAATAGATGTATCAGGTCAAATTAACTCTATTTTTATTGGAGGGTTACGTTAACAGAATCTTGCAAGACTGAAAGTATTTTCCCCCTCCTTTCCTGTTACTCTCCAGAAAACCAGGGAGGGATCCTTCTTGAAATGCCTCTCAGATCCCCCTCCTTCAGTGGGCTGAGGTATCTTTCCATGCAGGTTGCCCAGTGTGTAGCTTTTCTTCCTGTCTCCCAAGGCCATTCTCCCATGCCATTACAATTTGTGGCCATTTCTGGAATTTGGGCCATGGTCACTCATGCTCTTGTTAGCAATCAAATCAGATTGGTGCAGCCATATAACCTGTTTGATAAGAAAGGGACAATGGGCCCAAAGAAATCAAGGCACACAGATAATAGAAAGAATGTGTTCCAACTGGATTCCTTATGAAAAAAATCCCATCTTTTAAATTAACTCCAGTTGAACAATGCCCTCTGGAACAGCAAAGAGGAACACCCCTAAGATCAGATTGGCCCTGATGGTCTTTTGTGAAGCACTGAAGACCTGGAGGCAATGCATACCATCCCACTTCCATGCAAGCTGCCTTTAAGATGTTACACTTCAATAGAATAACAGAATAACAGAGTTGGAAGGAACCTTGGAGGTCTTCTAGTCCAACCCCCTGCTTAGGCAGGAAACCCTACACCATTTCAGACACATGGTTATCCAACATCTTCTTAAAAACTTCCAGTGTTGGAGCATTCACAACTTCTGCAGGGAGGTTGTTCCACTGATTAATTGTTCTAACTGTCAGGTAATTTCCCCTTAGTTCTAGATTGCTTCTCTCCATCCTTTGCTTCTTGTTCTGCTTTCAGGTGTTTTGGAGAATAGTTTCACTCCCTCTTCTTTGTGGCAGCCCCTGAGATATTGGAAGACTGCTATCATGTCTCCCCTAGTCCTTCTTTTCATTAAACTAGACATACCCAGTTCCTGCAACTGTTCTTCATATGTTTTAGCCTCCAGTCCCCTAATCATTTTTCTTGCTCTTCTCTGCACTCTTTCTAGAGTCTCCACATCTTTTTTTTTACATCGTGGCAACCAAAACTGAATGCAGTATTCCAAGTGTGGCTTTACCAAGGCATTATAAAGTGGTGTTAACACTTCACGTGATCTTGATTCTATCCCTCTGTTTATGAAACCCAGTGCTTCTTGTTATTGTGTCCTATTAATGTATTTATTTATTAGATTTTTATCCCCGCCTTTATGATTTTATAAGTAACTCAAGATGGCGAACATATCTAATATTGCTTCCTCCTCCTATTTTCCTCACAACAACAACTCTGTGAGGTGGGTTGGGCTGAGAGAGAGTGATTGTCCCAAGGTCACCCAGACAGCTTTCTTGTCTAAGATGGAACTTGAATTCACAAACTCTTGGTGATTGGCTTGATGCCTTAATCACTAGACCAAACTGGCTCTATTTCCTGCAAATAGGAGAACATAACATATCAGATTGGAGGTAATCAACCACTGAGTTTCTGAGGTCCACTTTTAATGTTCCAGAAGAGTTCAGGGAACACGAGAGGTGGGTGGGTATGATGCAAACAGCAAAGCTGGAATTCAGCTGCCACGAATTCAGTAGTGAATTCTTTAACATTTATTCTAAGGTGAACATCTTTATTTTCATGTACATTTTGCCTCATGGTGGCACAAAACTGCCAACCAATTTTTAACCCGTCTTGATCAGCAAAGCTTTCAGGATGCCACAATGGGCTCAGGAGTCATATCTGCCCCAAGACGACGACGACTACTACTACTACTACTACTACTACTACTACTACTACTACTACTATTATTATTGTTATTGTTATTGTTATTGTTATTATTATTATTATTATTATTATTATTATTATTATTATTATTATTTCTATACCACCTTTCTCCCATAGGACTCAAGGCGGTGTACAGTCAAGAAAAATATAGATACACAAACATCATAAAATTGCTAATTAAAATTATTATTATAACATAGTTTGGCCCAATTAAATAGAACCTAAAGTTAGATAACATTTTAAAAACATTCACATGTTCATATGTTTAGCCCCGCCTGTTGGAACATCAGGGTTTTGAGGGCACGGCGGAAAGCACGGAGATCAGGGATATTTCGTATCTCCGGGGGCAGTTCATTCCAAAGGGTTGGAGCCCCCACAGAGAAGGCCCTCCCCCTGGGAGTCGCCAGTCGGCATAATTTGACTGACGGTACCCTGAGTAGTCCCTCCCTGTGAGAACGAACTGGTCAGTGGAAGGCTATTGGTGGCAAAAGATGGTCTCATAGGTAAAAATACTATAAACCAGGGATATCAAACTCAAGGTCCGTGAGCGAGATCCAGCCCGTGGGGTGCTTAGAACTGGCCCGTGGGGTCGCCCTGGAAACAGCAAAGGACCAGCCTATGATGCCTCTACCAGTGAAAACAGAGCTCGGGAGGACCATGTGTGTTTTCGGAGGCAGAGGATTGCATAAGACCATCATGGCCAAAAATGGAGCCCGGGTGGGCTGCATGCAGCCTCCCCGAGTTCTGTATTTGCTGGCAGAGGGCTGCACAAGCTCATCGCAGCCGAAAATAGAGCCCGGGCAGGCCGTTGCAGCCAAAAATGGAGCCTCAACGAACGATGTCGAGCTGGCGATGCCCCCCCTGGCCATGCTCATCCCAGCCATGCCCCACGCCACCCCTGAGGTCAAACACAACCCTGATGTGGCCATCAATTTGATGTTTGATACCCCTGCTATAAACAGTCCAGTGAAAAATACTAATATTTGTTGAAAACTCAGCAGACAGAAATTGGAGCTAGGAACTTCCAGGAGTCCTCCATAATGAGCTTTCTCATTCTGTGTGGTATCTGCGAATTTGAAACCTTATTTTTTTCTCAAATCAGATTTATCCGTTGCATTATCTTAATTTGAGAAAGATCAGCAGAATCAGCAAAGCGATTGGCAATTCAGTCTGTGCTATAGTATTTTCTTCTGTTCGAAGTGAGACATGCTCTCTCTACATGAACCACGGTGGTTAATCTGTTGTTATGTTGCAGCATCCAGCACTAAGCTCTTGGTCAAATTTAGGTCTACCGCAACTGGGCTGCAAATCTCCAGGGAGCCATTAGATGGCAGCCATAGGATACAAACCCTCTTTGTTGCCATCTACTGATCATACATATCTTTGCAGGCTGGAATTTGCACCCCACAAAAGGGGGTGTGATGCAGTGGTGAAATCCATTTTTTTTTACTACCGGTTCTGTGGGCTTGGCTTGATGGGCGTGGTGTGTCTTGATGGACGTCGCAGGGAAGAATACTGCAAAATCTCCATTCCCACCCAACTCCAGGGGAAGGATACTGCAAAATCTCCATTCCCATCCCACTCCAGGGGAAGGATACTGTAAAATCCCCATTCCCTCCCCACTCCTGGGGGAAGGATATTGCAAAACCTCCATTCCCACCCCACGCTGGGGCCAGCCAGAGGTGGTATTTGCCGGTTCTCCGAACTACTCAAAATTTCCGCTACTGGTTCTCCAGAACCTGCTGGATTTCACCCCTGGTGTGATGGAATAATCAGACTGTAATTCAAATCTTTATTGTATCCACTCCGGCAGGCCTTGTGAAAGAAACAACCAATGGCTCCACTGCTTTGCAACCCTGGCTGGTGGGATTAACCGCTGTTACGGTCTTCTTGTTTGTGATGTTCGTGGCAAACCTCATCAATCGGATATTTTTCTTCCAAAAGTATGTCTCTTCTAGACCTCTTTCTTTAGGTTTTAAGGTCTCATTTAACACAGAACTGGAAGAACCATTGATTGACTGATTATGTGCCTTCAAATTAGCATCAGCTCTTAGCAAACACATTGATAGACCTTCTCTAGAAAGATCTGTTCCCCAACTAGGTCCTTCAGAACTTATAATGTTGTGCCCATCAACGATGTAACTGAGCTGAATCCATCCACCCTCCACACATGGAGAAAGGGTGTGTGCAGGGGTGAGTTCTAATTTTTTTTTTGCTACCAGTTCTGTGGGCGTGGCTTATTTTGTGGGTGTGGCTTGATGGTCATGTAACAATTCTTTAGGATTTAGCAGAGGTACTGGTCTACCAGGCTTTTAACTGCTTGCAGAGCTGTATCAATCTACCCATTTATTTTTGCAGGCACTGATCTACTCATGTATTTTTGCAGGCACTGTTCTACCCATTTATTTTTGCAGGCACCAAGCTACTCATGTATTTTTTCAGGCACTGGTCTACCCATTTATTTTTGCAGGCACCGGTCTACTCATTTGTTTTCTTTTACCACTGAACAGCTGTAGGGCGGCCCTTTGAAGCCCCGTGGCAAGAGTTTAAACAGTTTTTTTCCCCTCTAGCCATCAGCTGGGACTCAGGAGGCAGCAATAGATTGGGGGTGGGGCCAAATAAAAGGTAAGAATAACGCGGGGGTGGGGGGGCAGAACCGGTTCGGTGAAGTCATATCGTCACCGCTATTGGCTCAGCGGAACCGGGCCGAACCGGGAGGAACCCACCACTGGGGGTGTGTCAAAAAAGCTAAGACAGGAGTTACAACAACATAATTGTACTCCCACCTCTTGTTTACATGTGTTGTATGTGAGAGGCATGTAAAAAGAGACAAGGCTTTAATTGAAGGGTCACAGCCAGAGTCTTGGCTTAGATTTCCCAGCTTGGTGCCAGAGAGCTACAGTCCAAATTAAAGGCTGCTTCTGGATTACAAGATTAGTTCTCTTCTTGGTCCTCCCTCTCAGCGTGTATGACTGAAGCCTGACCTGTTTCATCTGACAAACACAAACCATCACAAGCACATTAAGATTAGATTCCTGATCTGCTCCACTTGGAAAAGATAAAGCACAATCTTTATCTTTTGTGTGAGAGGCATGTAAAAAGAGACAAGGCTTTAATTGAAGGGTTACAGCCACAGTCTTGGCTTAGATTTCCCATCTTGGTGCCAGAGAGCTACAATCCAAATTAAAGGCTGCTTCTGGATTACAAGATTAGTTCTCTTCTTGGTCCTCTCTCTCAGCGTGTATGACTGAAGCCTGACCTGCTTCATCTGACAAACACAAACCATCACAAGCACATTAAGATTAGATTCCTGATCTGCTCCACTTGGAAAAGATAAAGCACAATCGCTTTCCCAGAATCTCAGTTATATAATTAACCCATTTTGCAGATTTGCCCAAAACATTGACCAACAAGCTAATCAAAAGGGCTAAAATTTGCACAACAAATCTAAGCTGCCCAAAAGCTCCCATCCATCTCTAATCAAAGTTACAGCTAATCAAGTTGAGAGCATTATACGAATGAAGGTCACCAGGTTCCTATCTGATTAGTGTGATGGTGTGATTGTATCTCTCTTTGTGTGTTTAAGGAGTGGAGCAATGAAGGTCTTATATTTGAAGGGATGGGGGTTCTACCCTGTTTTTTTCATCCTTCCTTCCCTCCCTAATTCTTCATTAATATTGTTCCATTTTGCAGAAAGGATGACAAGGACGAGTTGGAGAACATAGAGATCAAGGGCAGGTAAATATTACTGCTTCAATAGATTTTTAAAAGGCATTTTATGTCTTGGGTATCTAGTGGTAGAGCTAGTCAACGTGGTTATTCGTGCTCCTCCCACCCAATTATGGGCATGCACAGGTAAATCCTTTACCTACAACAGGGGTCTGCAACCTTAAACACTCAGAGCCATTTGGACCTGTTTCCCACAGAAAACACCGGGAGCCTGGGTGGGCGTGGCCAACTTGACATCACTCACTTCCATCAGTCACATGACCCCCTAGCCATGCCTACCCAGCCGGTCATTAGGGCAGAGAACCGGTTGTTAAAAAACACCAGGAACCACAAAACCCTTTTGACATCTCTCTTTCCCTCCCTCCCTCCCTCCCTGCCCTGGCCGCTTCTCCATCCCCCGCCATCGCCCTTACCTTCTTAGGCCAGGTGAGGAATGACTGGGAGGGGAGGGTGAGGGGTGGGGCCAGCCAATGGTGGGATCATCCGACAGGGAGCCACAGCAGAGGGCCCAAAGAGCCGCATGTGGCTCCAGAGCTGCAGGTTGCTGACACCCGACCTACAACCATTTAGTGATCGAAATTACAATGGCATTGAAAAAAGTGACTTATGACAAGTCTTCACACTTATGATTGTTGCAGTATCCCTTACTGTCACGTGATTAAAATGTTGGTGCTTGGCAACACACATGGATTTACAACAGTTGCAACGTCCTGGAATCATGTGATTGTCAATTGCGACCTTCTCAGCTGGCTTCTAACAAGCGAAGTCAATGCGGGAAGCTGGATTCGCTTAACAACTATGTGATCCACTTAACAACTGGGGTGATTTGCTTAACCATGACACACACACAAAAAAAACATAAAATTGAGCATGACTCACTTAACAACGGCCTTACTGCCACGACCAAGCCACGCCCACAGAATCGGTAGTAAAAAAACCTGAATTTCCCCACTGCTCAGCTCCATAGTGTTTGTTTTTCCCTCTTTTCCCTACAGCGCTGAGGAAAATGTCTACGAAAACGAAGCAATGGACTCAGATGAGGAGAGTTTGCAAACCAAGATATAGAGAATCATAACAGCATGTAAAAGGTCTTTAAGGGAAAGGAGGACCAGCTGCCATTACAAAATGACTGAATTCGGAATTATCTGAAAGGCCTGGACAAGAATTTCCAGATTCAGGTGTTGTTGTTTTTTAATCACCAGCACATCACTGACCCCTCGAAATTAGATGAAACCAAAGCTAGCTCACAATAGCAACGGACGTTGCCAGGGTGGTGACTACGTGAATACAGGTAGTCCTCGACTTATAACAGATAATTTAGTTACTCTTCAAAGTTATAACAACACTGCAAAAAGTGACTTATGTTATGTCCATTTTTCACACTTACGACCTTTGCAGCATCCCCATGGTCACGTGATCATGGGGATCATGATCATGGGGATCAAGGGCCTGGTGGCTCAGCAGACTGATAGCACTGTGATTAACACCAGCTGTCTGCAATTACTGTAGTTCGAATCTCACCAGGCTCAAGGTTGACTCAGCCTTCCATCCTTTCTAAGGTAGGTAAATTGAGGACCCAGTTTGTGGGGGCAATAAGCTGACTTTGTATAAATATACAAAAGTATGAAGGCTATTGCTTAACACATTGTAAGCCGCCCTGAGTCTCCGGAGAAGGGCGGCATATAAATCAAATTAAAAAAAAAAAAAATCAGACACTTGAAAACTGACTCATATTTATGACCGTTGCAGTGTCCTGTCACCTTTTGCGACCTTCCGACAAGCAAAGTCAATGGAGAAGCCAGATTCGCTTAACAACCGTTTCACTAACTTAACAACTGCAGTGATTCACTTAAAAACGGTGGCAAGAAAAGCTGTAAAACGAGGCAAAACTCACTTAACAAATGTTTCGTTTAGCAACATCAGTTTTAGGCTCAATTGTGGTAGTAATTCAAGGACTACCTGTATATGTCCATGTTGTTCTCTTGGCAATAATGCAAAAACTGATTTGCAATTTCCTTTATTTCCGGTTGTTGCACATGTTTTCTGAGCTGAGTTTCCCATTCAGGCTAGCAGGCTTGAGTGATCAGGATCCAGGCCTAAGATAAAAGCAAGCTATCTAAATTTACATTACCATAAGAAAGAACGGATGAATGAATACATAAATAAATGTATTAAACTGTCTTCTGCAGAAGCCGTCCAAAGTAAATTGCTTCCTTGCAGTCATCCATTTCTATTTGTTTCTTCTAGCTAGCTCAGCTTTTGCATTATTCGTTATTATTATTTTTTTGTGGGAAATGGTTAAACAGTTATCTGGAGCTTTTTGAAAGCTACAGATAGTTCGTTGTGGTAAAAGAGGCCCATGTTGAGAAATGTTTCAGATTGGTTTTGTGAAATAACAAAAAAAACCTGCCTATCTACCCATGTCCAAAAGGATGTGGGAATGAAGCAACCGTTTTGCTGAGGTGTCACAAACACCTGAAATACACATTGTGCTTCAATGAAGAAGATCCCAAGGTCATGTGATGACAATTTATAACTTTTTTTCGCCAGAAACCAGCATTTACTTCTGGTTTCCAGCAGTAAACTCCCATTGCAGACACTTGCTTAACGGTTCTGCTTAATGACTGTCATGGCTTATGGTCATAATTCTGGGCCAGTGGTGAAAGCCAAATTTTTTTACTACCGGTTCTGTGGGCGTGGCTTAGTGGGCGTGGTGTGGCTTGGTGGGTGTGGCAGGGGAAGGATACTGCAAAATCCCCATTCCCTCCCCACTCCAGGGGGAAGGATATTGCAAAATCCCCATTCCCACCCCACTCTGGGGCCAACCAGAGGTGGTATTTGCCGGTTCTCCGAACTACTCAAAATTTCCGCTACTGGTTCTCCAGAACCTGTCAGAACCTGCTGGATTTCACCCCTGTTCTGGGCTCAATTATGGTTGCAAGTCAAGGACTACCTGCATCTGGCAGAAACCATATTGTGAGTGCAACTTTACTTGTCCTTCCTTCCTCCCTCCCTCCCTCCCTTCCTTCCTTTTGGATGCCCATGGTAGTAGGATCAGCCATGATGTATTAAATAAAACTCAACTGCTCTGTAGAACCCATCACACGGAATACATTCACACAACATAATTGGCTTCAAATAAACACAGTAAATCACATTTCGGTTTACTGTGTTATTTGTAATGCATGAAGGTTATCTAATACAGGACAGGCTGCAAAAATCCGGACTGAAAAAGGGCAACCAAAAACCAGAGTTTTCTGCGCTCTTTGCTGCAATCTGCATCTTTTGGCATTGGAAGCCATCGTGCAAATCAGGTGTACATGTTCATACTGAATTGGATGCAACTTATTTCTAGTAAGTTCCTAAGGACTAGAAACTTGAAATGGTTTTTGAAAGGACTACCTTCTGCATCACGGGTGTCAAACTCGATTTCTTTGAGGGCCGCATCAGGGTTGTGTTTGAACTTGGGGGGGGCAGGTGGGCATGGGTGTGGGGAGCATGGCCAGCTCGACATCACTTGTGTTGGGGACGCTTGTGGTGGCCTTAGTGCTATGCCAGTGAAAACGGGCTCCTGAGCTACATTTTTGGCTGCGACAGCCTCTTGCAACCCTCTGCCAGCGAAAACAGAGCTCTGTTTTCACTGGCAGAGGCACTGCGGGCTGGTCTTTTGCTGTTTCCAGGGTGACCCCACGGGCCAGATCTAAGCACCCCACAGGCTGGATCTGGCCCCAAGGCCTTGAGTTTGACACCCCTGTTCTACATTATCATATCCCTGCTGATGGGAAACCCTAGAAGAGGCACCTTAGAACAAGATGCAATGGCTTTTAAATTCCTCTCTTCCCTAGCAAACATGCACAAAGGCTAAGGTTACAAGCCCATTAAAAGCGTCAGTAGAAGCGTTGTGGAAACAACTCACTGACACTGAAGCATCACGAGACGCACAGCGTTGATTTCAAGGGCTTTACGCATTTCCGCACTCTGGAAATTAGATCTGTATGATCCTGTGTTAGATTTCGCTGAACATAAAAGTGGAGCAGAGCCAGCTTCAGGATGATGCACGGAATCAACCTTTGTTAAGGATATCGGAGTTAGATTCCAATATTTTGCGGGTACTTTCCAGTGGTGGGTTCCTCCCGGTTCGGCCCGGTTCTGCCGAGCCGGTAGCGGTGATGATATGACGTCACCGAACCAGTTATTTTTGTTTGAAAGCTGGGCCCTCCTGCCCCCCCCCCGCATTATTCTTACCTTTTATTTGGCCTCACCCCCAATCTATTCACTGCCTCCCGAGTCCCAGCTGATTAGCTAGAAGGAAAAAAAACTGTTTAAACTCTTGCTGTGGGGCTTCAAAGGCCTCCCTACAGCTGATCAGTGTTAAAAGGCAGTGTGGTGGTAGACCAGTGTGCTCGAAAAACAAATGGGTAGACCGGTGTCTCCAAAAACAAATGGGTAGACCGGTGTCTCCAAAAACAAATGGGTAGACAGGTGTCTCCAAAAACAAATGAGTAGACCGGTGTCTCCAAAAACAAATAGGTAGACCGGAATACTCCAAGAACAAATGGGTAGACTGGTACAGCTCTGCAAGCAGTTAAAAGCCTGGTAGACCAGTACCTCTGCTAAATCCTAAAGAATTGTAACTTGACCATCACACCACACCCACAATATAAGCCATGCCCACAGAACCGGTAGTAAAAAATTTTAGAACCCACCCCTGGGTTCGTTGCAACTGATAGCACTTCTGAGAATGTTCAGAATAGTAGTTGGTCTGCCTAGATCAGTGATGGCAAAACTATAACCCGCATGTCAAAGCGGTTGGGCAAAGGACAGCAACAGCTATTCTTGAAAGCACACTGCATTCCTGCACAATTTTCGGAGGCTGCGGAGGCCCTGTGAGAATGGGATGTGCTCTTGTGCAGCCTCCAGTCTGGTAATGTTTAATATAGTCTGGTAAATATGTACAAATATAACAAAAACTCTTGGTGGGGGGAGGCTGAATAATTTTTAAAGTAGAAAGGGGCCTCGGGAGAAAAAAGGTTTAAAAAGACTTTATCTAGGAGAAGCCCGTTTGAGAATGTTACCAACTTTTCAAAGGGGTCTGCGCTTATGTGCCTTTCACAGCAAATCCATTTGCATAAGGGGCAAGTGAGGACTCGACTCTAGTAGAGTTATGAGTACTAAAGTCCTGTCTACTCTATAGGTAGTCCTTGACTTACAGCAGTTCATTTAGTAACCATTCAGTCACAATGGCATTGAAAAAAGTGACTTATGACCATTTCCCCATATTTATGACCATTGCAGCATCCTCATGCTTGACGAATTTTGACGAGGTCAGTAGACAGACACTTAGCAACTGACTCATATTTATGACTCGTGCAGTGTCCTGAGGTCATGTGATATAATACCCTTTTGCAACTTCTGACAAGCAAAGTCAATGGGGAAGCCAGATTCACTTAACAGCTGTTACTCACTTAACAACTTGTTACTTGCTTAATGCATTGTAAGCCGCCCTGAGTCTCTGGAGAAGGGCGGCATATAAATTAAAGCAAAAAAACAAACAAACCTGCATTCAATTAACAACTGGCAAGAAAGGTCTTAAAGTGGGGCAAAAGTCCCTTACAAATGTTTCACTTAGCAACAGAAATGTTGGGCTGGACTGTGATCGTAAATTCAGGACTACCTATATTTCCAGCTGTAAGGCCATGGGGGTCTCAGCTACTCCAGAAGTCATGGAACTACAACCTCCAGAATCCATCTCTATGTCAATGCTGGGAGTGGGAGCCCTGGGGTCTCTGTCTGAACAAAAAGCTAAAGATCTGGGGAATCTGTGCAAATCTAAAAACACATGAATAGGGCATAAAATGGACCAAAACTGTGGATAGCAAAAGCATAGGCGAACTTTTGCTTTCTTTGGGTAAGCTGGCAACTTGAGGTTCAAAGAATGAGAGCCCTGGAATTCAGCTCCTGGAATGTGGAGTTGGGAGTGTGGAGAGTGCTGATCCATAGCCACAGACTGAACAGCTGACGACAAATCGGAGTCCCCCTTTGATGCAAGTCATCCAGGAAATGTCTATGGAGATTCTCAGTCATCCAGGTCATGGTTGTCCCAAAGGTGCTTTTTCAAGAGGCTTTCTTGGTTTTCTTTGAAGACGTTTTGCTTCTCATCCAAGAAGCTTCTTCAGCTCTGACTGGATGGTAGGAAATGGAAGGATTTATACTTCCTGCAGACAGCTGGTCATTTGCATTCTTTTAGTGAATCATTAAGGCCACCTGGAGGTTTATCTCAGGGTCACCTGAGTGGCGCAAACGGGTGTTGAGCCTTCTTGGAACTGGTGAAAGGACTGTGTTGTAGATTGGATGTCATACCCTGTCCCTCTCTCTTGAGAGAGGGCTATTCAATTTTGACACAGACGGCCTCTTTTACCCCTGTTCAACCCAAGCGGTCCCCTCTGTCCAAAATGTGGACTTTGCTATCTTCAAAAGATCACCCTTTGTCTTTGAAATGCAGATGGGTTTGTTCTCCTATGTTGTGCCATGCGTTTATGAAGTGATTGTTTTGTTTCCCCAACCCACAGATCTGCACGTGGCTCACTGCACCTTTA